GGGAGTCTGCCAGATGCAAAGACGTATGGGCTATTAGAGAAAATACAAGCACCAGCTCACGGCGCAGTTCGCACAGCATGGCTCTGCTTCCATAAACTACCGTGTAGGTGTGTCTAAGCAGAGGGAAATGTCACCCCATGTTGCTGGTGGTTTTCTCTCCGTGGGGAGATTGAGGTGATTTAATTTATTTTCCCATTCGCTCTTCTGTGTTTTCTAATTTTTCTACAATGAGCAGGCACGACGTATGCGGATTTTAAACATTTTAACAGCTTTATCAAGATGATAGTTCAGCTATTTCAAGTGTACAAGTCAGTTTTTTTAGTGTGTTGACAGACATGTGCACTATGACCACAGTCGATTTCAAAACGTTGTCATCCATCTAAAAAGAAGCCTGGGCTTTAGCTATCACTTCCTACCCCAGGCCCCTCCCTCCAGCCCTAGGCACCCACTAATCTATAGATTCCTCTGTTCTAGACATTTCATGGGAGTGGAATCGGATAATAGGAGGTTTCTTGTGTCTGGCTGCTTTCACTTGGCACACAGTTTTCAAAGTTCACCCGTGTTCTATCACGTATGTTGGTGCTTCATTTCTTTTTATGGCTAAATAATATTCCATTGTATGGATAGACGACACTGGTTATCCATTCATCAGATAATGGACATGACTTATGTCATTTAAAAATAATTTTTTTAAAGACTGCATTGAAGTCAAATCGCCAAGATGACAGTTGGTTCAGAATGACTACTTCTGGTTGCTTGTTTTGAGACTTTTCAGCCTGTTTGTTCTCTGTTTTCAAACGCCAGTTAGTCAGACTGAAGACTGGGCTCTTTGTGGGAATGTGAGCCAGTTCCCTCACTCCCTGTGCGCCAGGCCCGAGAGGGGCTCAGCTCCTCTGTCTCACTGATTCTTTGCAGATGAAGGAGGTGGGTACTTACTGTGCTCATTTTAAAATGAGGACACTGAGGCCTGGCAAGACTAACCAGCCTGCCCAGGGCCCACAGCCCACTGACGCTGTGGCTGTGTTCTGAATTCAGAATGGGACATGAACCCCCCTTTCTAGCTCACATATTTGTGTACTTAAAAGTGAAAAGTAAGCCCTGGCCAGTTTGGCTCAGTGGTTAGAGCGTCGGCCTGCAGACCAAAGAGTCTCGGGTTAGATTCCAGTCCAGGGCACGTACCTCCGTTGCAGTTTGGTCCCCGGCCCTGGTCGGGGTCGTGTGGGAGACAACCAATCGATGTGTCTCTCTCACGTCGATCTCTCTCCTCTCTCTCTGTCTTCGTCCCACTCTCTCTGAAGATAAGATAAACGGGAAAATATCCTCGGGGGAGGATTTTAAATAAATAAATAAATAAATAGTGCCCTGACTGGTTTTGCTCAGCAGTTAGAGCATCGGCTTGCAGATCAAAGAGTCACGGGTTCAATACCGGCTAAGAGCACGTACCTCAGTTTTGGTTTGTCCCTGGCCCTGGTCGGGGTGGTGTGGGAGGCAGCCAATTGATGTGTACCTCTCACATTGATGTTTCTCTCTCTCTCTCTCTCTCCCTGTCCCACTCTCTCTGAAGATATTTGAGAAAATATCCTTGGGTGAGGATTAAACAAATAAATAAAAAATAAGAGTGAAAGGTAAAATAATGCTTAATAGAGTGGGTCTTGAGAAATACTTCTCCCTTCCCCTCCCTACTTGTCTTTCATATTTTAGTTTTCAAATAACATTTGAAATCTGACTTCTTTTTTTTAGGACAAGCCAATTTTAAAACTTTCAGAATTTTAATCCCATTGGATAACTTTTTTTTTAGCAGGTAGACGGCTGTATCTGAATTGCTTAAATATAGGGAAATGTCTAATTTGAAAATAGCGGAAAATGATTAACTAGGAAAAGTGGACATCAGTGGCTGAAAATAAATTAAAAAGGTAAAGTAAGCCCAGCAGTGTGGCTCAGTGGATTGAGCACCACCCATGGACTGAAAGGTCCCAGTTCAATTCCCAGGCAGGGCACAAGTGCCCAGGTTGCAGGCTTGATCCCCAGTAGGGGGCGTGCAGGAGGCAGCCAATCAGTTTCTCCCTCACATTGATGTTTCTATCTCTTGCTCTCTAAAAAAAAAATCAATTAGATATATATTTAAAAATAAAGGTGAAATAATTGAGAAAGCAGATACATTTTTTTTTTTAAATGTCCCCAATGCGGTGAAATTACCCTGTGTCCACAAAAGTGATCAAGAGAGGAAACCAATCCACTTAAAGCCAGAGGCAAACTTAGTAAGCAGAGGAGCTATAATTAGGAAAAACTGGGAATGAACAAAAACAAAAAAGATGCAAAATTGTTCCAGGATTCACAATAACTGCTAAAAGTTCCTCAAAGCACAGGCACATTTACAGAAATGCTCAAAAGTTACATTTGAATTAGGAAACATATCCTGTGGTATATAAAAGCTACAGTAAATAAAATCCCTGCAACTAGAAATATTTATTCACTCTTTGTTTGTTTGTTTTGGGTACGTGCCCCTGACGGGAACCGAACTCAGAACTCTCTGGTCCGCAGGCCAATGCTCCAAACCGGCCAGGGCTTTATTCACTCTTTCGACAAATATTTATGGCGACGCTTTTGAGTTGGCACTGTTCTCGGCATCGGGACCACAGCTGTGTGAACGAAACAGACCCCGTTCCTGTTCTCGTGGCGCTGGGTATCTGACCGAGAGCGAGCGAACAAATAAAAAGATGATTTCCAAGTGTGATAAACTCAGCCACTTGGCCACACTGACCAAATCCCCTCGGTCAGACTCAGCATGTCAGACCAGCTGGAAGGGACCAGAGAGGTGGTTTTGTCTAGTTTTCAGAGTTTGTGTTAACAGCATCTTCTGGGGTGAGGGGCCATGATTCAGGGGGCTCCTTAGGACATCAAGCCAGGAGGCTTACCCAGCCATACCCAGAACCGTGGCCCACAGCAGAAACAGCACCACACAAGGCCAGAGTGGGAGGGATGTCCGAGTTCCTCCCAGGTGTCTGAGGTGTCACAGTGGGAAGTGCCTGTCATCCTCCTTTCTGATGTTCAGTTATACACACATGCTAACCTCCCCCCCACACACACTCACACACCCCACACAGCTCCTTCTGAAGGGATGGCATAGGCAGGTTTGTCTCCCATTCCTGTCACAGCTGATTGGTCCAGGGAAAGAAATCTGACCGAGGTTGGACCAATCAGGGTCTCCACTCTGCGTTTGGGGTTGGGATGCTGAGAGCCTGGGCCAGTTGGTAGGCTGGCAGGAAAGCAGACCCCTGCAAGTGGCCTCATGCTGTGTTTGGTTAGCACCCAGAGGAGGGAAGACCCACAGAGGTTTGCAAGCCCTTTCCTGAGACTTCCTCTGGCCCTTTTGTAGCCTTAAATAAGCTTCACTTTACCAGAATGTTGAGTGAATTTCTACTGCTGCAGTTGCAACCACATCATCGATTGAATGAGTTCAGAAAACACTGTAAATAAAGCCACAGCGATTTCTCCATTGCAGGACTTTGCAGAGCCTTTCATATGCTGCTAGACATAGTGACTTTCCAGGATGCGGCCAAGGTCTGTGATGTTTCCCAAACTCATGAGATATAGCTCACCTGGCTCATGTTCTACCGAGCAGCCTTTGGGGAGTGGGAATCCACACACACACCCCCTTGCTGTACAAGTGAAGGAATTAAAGCACAGAGGAGGGAGTTCCCCAAGGTCACATAGCTGGTTAATTGCAGAGAAGGTCTTGGCACTTGAGGCCTCCCAGTGTTCCTCCCAGCACGCCCTAACTGATTGAAGTCTTCCTTGGAACGATGATGCTGGGGTTCCTGGGCCCAGGTGGGTGGTGGGAACACGTCCCCTGTAGACTTGAGGGAAAGGGTGGGGTCAAGAATTGAAGGTCAGGCGTTGGCAAGAGAAACCCCATCTCCCTTGCTCTTGGGTGGTAGCCTGGCTTCAGTAGGGCGTGACAGCTGATAGAAGTCTTGGGGCTGAGCCCCGCTGCCTGGGCCCCGCCCGCCGACCCAGCCGGTCACGCTTCCCCCAGACCACCGGCAAGCTGAACAAGAAAGGAGCGGAGCTGCTCTGGGCAAGGCCCGCCCAGGCCTCCAGCGCCAGGATGACGGGGCTGTAAATCACCCCTGGACCACAGACCCAGTGCCATCCCCACGGGTTTCCTTTCCTGCTTCTTAATCCTCTTCCTCAGACTCAGTAACAAAAAGCAGATTCCTGCTGGGGCGACGCACCGCAGTGGGCCGGGGGAGTGACTCGGACTCCCGCATCAAGATGCCGCCTCCTCTCACTTTCCCTGTCTCCTCCTGGCCTGGCCCGCTCCCTCCCCTCCCTTGGACCCCACTTTCGGCCTTGCCCCAGCCTCGCACCCTGGCGGGCTGCCTGCCGAGCCGGGGCTGCCCCAGGACTGTGGTTCACAGGTAGTTTGGCTCCACCCGGGCTCCCCGAGTCTCTGGATGGCAGAATAAACTGCCGATCCGGATTCGAATCCTGATGCTGCCAACTTCCAGCACTTCTTTTCCTGAGGGGAGCCAGGGATTCCTCACCTGAGATCGGGGTGTGAGGAAGCTCCCTGGCCTGCTGGAGGTGCCTGACAGATGTTTTGCTTCAAAAATAAGTGCTGAGCTGTTGGTTCAGGGTTGTTGCAAAAATCGGGAGAGGAGAAGCCCTTGGAACTGCTTTATGGGGGCTGTGCTGGGCCGGGCTAAGGGACTGCAGTTCCTCTTCGCATGTTTGGGCAGACTTGGGGCCCCGGAGCCTCCCCGCTGCCCTGACCTCCCCAAAAGTAAAACTCCACCAGTCCTCTGCCCTCGCCCCCTCCTGGCCCTTCCTGGTAGCAGGTCACGCCCTCCGGTCAGTTTTCTTCCTAAGCAGCACCAAGTCCCGCTGCCAGGGGGCGGGTTCGAAGGCCAGGACTCCTGGCGGCCCTGGAACGGGGCAGGGTGAGTCGGGGCAGGGTGAGTCGGGCAGCTCCTGACGGTTGGCTGTGTTGTTTTCAGGAGTGACTGGCCCTGGGCTGGACCAAGGACACTGCTGTGGGCCCGCTTTCCGGTCGGTGGAGCCCGAGGAGAAGGTGAGCCGCCCAGTCCAGCCTCGTGGTCGTCTTCAAGGTGCCGCCAGATGCCTCTCAGGGTCAGACGGGGCACGCCTGCTCCCCCCGCGCCCCCTCCCCCAGCCACGCGGTGACTTCGCACTTTGCCCTCTGCCTGGTGGGGAGGGGAGAGCTCAGCCTTCCTCTTGCCTGGGCCCCAGGCCCGCCCTCGGCTGCAGAAATTCATTGCCAAAGACACCACAGAGACACTGAACAAACGTGGTGAGGAGACCCCACACTGAAAAGCCACACGTTGCCTGTGACCTGCGCCCCCCCTGGGGCCCGCCTTCCTCCGTGGCCAGCCAAAGACAAGCCAGCGGTCCCACTCGCAACTCCCGGCAAGGATGGACGTTTGGTGACCGGTGGAAGCACCTGACATTCTTTCTGACCAGGCCCTCTCTCTCCTGGGCCCTGAGGGGTGCCGATCAGCGCCCTGTGAGACAGGCTGGGGTGCCTGTCGGGAGTGGACTCAGATCTCGGCTTCCTTCTCTCCCGCTAACTGGCTGCCCAGGCCTCGGACCCTGATTCTCAATGTTCCCTGGGCCCAGGCTTCTCTTCTTGGGCCTGAGCATCATGGGACGGGGTTAGTTGGGGGAAGAAGCAATGCCGACCACCCCCGGGACCTGTCCTGGGGGTCTTTGCTCCCCGACTGGCCTCCTTGGCAGGGCCCACCCTCCTGGCTGGGCACACGAGATGGCGCCTGCGCGGAGGCCCGCGTTCTCTTACTCACTGTGCAGGGGGCGGAGGGGAGGAAGGGACCAGGGGCGTGGGCCAGTGTGTGGGGGAGTGGGGCAAGTTCAAAGCCACGGCCTGCTCCTTCCTTTGCTCAAAAGGCCAAAGCTGTTCACATCCTGTGCTCAACCATCTGCTTCAAATTGAAGTAAAGCCCCGACATGTAACGAAAACGTTGTGTTGAGTGGACTCTGTGGGTGACCAGGACTTTGGCGGGTCAGTGGGGGGGGGGGGCTCTGGGAGAGGGCAGAGGTCGGGAGCCCTTCCGGAAGCAGGCAGACTGCAAGTGTGTGTGTTCAGAGGCAGAGGGGCCCTCGCTGTGGCCTCTGCCCGGACTAATAACAGGCCTGTCAGCAACGTGTGCAGAGTTGGCTCCATTTCGTGCCTCGCGTAATCCAGACCACAGCTGTGTGCGGTGGGAGCTGGACTTTCAACCCCACTTTATAGATGAGGAGACTGAGGCCCCGGAGACAGGGCCAGTCAGTGACCACGGGTTCTCAAACCATGGCTGCCTCCCGCCGAGTCCTGTCTCTTAACTCCTTTCCAGCCCCACAGTCAGCCCCAGCTCAGAGTCCTTCAGCAGCCTTGTCACATCACCTCCCTCAGCGGGCGTGGCCCCACGGGGGACAGGGGAGAGGTCATGACAACCAGCACAGGACTGTGGAAGGGCTGCGAAGGTGGCAGGGCTGCCGAGGAGAGGGGAGGTGACGAGGAAAGAAGGCTGTGCTCATGCAGGGTGCACACCTGTCCCTTGTCCTGGTGTCGCCCTCTCCCCTCTGCCCCATGGCCTTCGAGCTGGGGCTGGGGTCTGCGGTGGGGCTGGCTGCAAGAAGCCTCCTCTTGGACTCGTCCTTCCCCTGCATGGACCTTTGCCAAGGACCAAGATCTGGGCAGGACCAGGGCACCAAGATTTCTCAGAGCTCTGCTCAGAGCCCACCATGCACATGCATGTGCGCACACACACACACACACACACACACACCCCGCTCCCCTTGTGGGTACGTGAACTTCCAGACACACACTTGTGTGCATTCCCAGCTAAGGGAATTCCATTTCAGGTGAATTCAAATTTCAGCAGCTCCTGGAAGCCGGACAGACAGAATGGCCTTGGAAGAGGGGCTGAGAGGGGACTGTTAGAAAGGGTCAGTTGCTCGGCCAGTGTGGCTCAGTGGATTGAACGTTGTCCCATGGACTGAGAGGTCCCCGTTTGATTCCTGGTCGGGCCACATGCCCTGGTTTTAGGCTCACAACCCCCAGAATCTCACATCGATGTTTCTGTCTCTCCCTCTCCCTCTAAGTAATCAATAAAAACATATTTAAAAAAAAGAAGGGGTCAGTCACCCTGAGACTCCAGAGGTCACAGCCCCACTCAGTTGTCCCTCTGAACCTCTGAGTAATGCCTGGGGCACTTCCTAGGGAAGCAGGAAATGGGGACCAATCAGCATCAAACTATTGGCACCAGAGGACCCTCTCTGTTACTGAAGGGTGGGGGGAGTAGCCCCAGCCCACTGCCAAGGGACCAGGCCATGGCCTTAACCCTGGACACAACCATGGCCTCCACACCCCACTCCTCTCCTGTTTATGGCCTTCACTGCACACGCCCCTGTCATTCCGAAGCATCTATGGATTATCAGCTGCATAGCGACACTAAGCTAGGTGTCGGTCATAAAGAAATGGATCCCACATAGTGTTCACAGAACTCACGGTTCGGTATAGACAGGCAAGAAAATAATCATGATACAGTCAGGTGAGTAAGATGTTTTGGGAGCTTCAGGAAAGAAAAGACTAACTCTCTCTGGGGAGGTATCAAGAAGGCCTTTCTTAGAAAGGGGCCATAGGAGTTGGGTCTTGAAGAATGAATAGAAGTTTTCTTGGCAGAGGAATACTAAACCCTGGCAGGACATTGGAATCACCTGAGGAGGTTACTCAATATTGTTACAAAGTATTAATGCCAAAGTCCCAGCTCCAGAAATTCTGATGTATTAGTGGTCTGGAGTGTGGTTGGGCAGGGGGGTTTGTAAAAGCTCCCCAAGTGCTTTTAACATGCAGGCAGCGTTGAGAGCCACTGGCTTAAGAAGACTTAGATCTCTGACAAGAAAGTGATCTAGAATCACTGATATGGGATACAGGCTGTGCCAAAAATGTGGAGGTGTGGAGTGTGTGTGTGTGTGTGTGCATGTGTGTGTGCATGTGTCTGTCCACACACATGTATATGATTAATAAATGTTGACGCTATTATTTTCTGTTCCAGCTTCTTCCCCAGAATTGCAGCGTGTGTTCTTGTACACAGCACACACACACCTTATTTGCACATGCACCTCTGGACACACATTTGTGTATATTCCCAGGTGAGGGAATTTCATTTCAGATAGATTCGAACTCCAGCAGCAGTCTGTAAACAGTTTCCGGGAAGCCACCATACAAGCAGACCCTCACCAGAATAAGAATTGTGACGAGCCACACTTCTGGGGCCTGGTGAGGGCGTTTCCAGGCCAGCTGAGGGTTCGTGGCCCCAGAGCCGTCTGCAGATGTGTTTTCAGCACACCCTTTGGTCTTTGGCTCTGGGTCCTGGCCCCAAATGCAGTGATGGCTCAGAGGGGTACGGGGACTCCCTCCAGGGACGCTAGGGACCTGTGTGAAAGGCCCACGTGTGTACTTCTGTGTGCACGCCTGGCTCCTGCAGTGCACAAGCTTCCTCCTCTCAGCAGGACAAAACCACGCAGAATGGCCCAGAGTCAGAGATCTCCGCGGCTCACAGGCCGAGACTTACGAGACTTCAAAAATCCTGTGCACATAGGTTGCCCTGCTTCCTGGCTCTGGTCTCAGACCGCCCCAGAAGAGAGGCTTAAGTTCTGGAACTCTTTCAGGGCCCCAGGTGGATTCCATCTCCCCACACTGTACCCCTCCTGTCCTCATGGCCTGCCACCCTGTCCGGGGACTCCCCCGCCTCCCTCCACCTCACCATGTCCTCCAAGGCCCTGTGCTGTCCTATTTCTTTCCCTGCTTAGCGCCCCCCTCCCCTTAGCGCTCCAATCTCCCTTCCTCACAAGCCAGTGAGACAGGAGTGGGCAGGTCCCAGGGGCAGGAAACCAGGTAGCATAGCCATGTGCAGGGACTGTGCTGGGAGCTGGGGGAAGGACAGAGCCCCTCTGTGCCCGAGATAGGGCAGAGCTGTGGCACAGCTGACCAGGTTGAGACAGGTGCAGTGCTGTGGGCAGCCGTGGGAAGGCTGCTAGGGCTGGAGAGGGCCTGTGCTTGCCTCCCCCTCCATGCTGCTCTCTGAGCTACAGAGTGGTCGTTGCCAGCAGCCGAGTGACAGCAGCCTGGCCTTCTCAGAGCAAGACTCGGCTGTCTCCAAGTATTTCCTTAAGGGGATCTGTACTGCCCTTCGCACTCTGACCCCTTGCTGCCACCCACCTACACCACTGTGTTCTGTCTCCAGGCTCCAGGGGGACAGGAGGCCTTGGGGGGCCCTGCCTGGGCTGGGTCTACAGGGTGGGGGTGGGCACGGGTTTCCTTGTGCACCTCCCTCTGATCCCCTGGACCCCAGACAAGCTGTGTCTGCCTTCCCGAAGCCAGGTGCCCCGAGGAATTTGAATTTGTAAATTATGACTTTGTCTTACAGATATTTGGGCACATGGCTAATCTTCGGATAGTACCCTCCTAGAGGGCAAAGATTGGGTCGAATTCATCTCCAAATCCTTGAAAAGGTCTTGCAAAATGTATATATTCATTACTTTGTTGAGTGAATAAAAACCAGAAAATATGGTAATTTATGCATTTATGTTCTTCCACAAATAACTACCAAGCAGCGAATGTGTTCAAGGCCCGGAAAGAATGGGCACAGTCTTGTCCACAGCCTCAATGAAACTCGCAGGGAGAGAGTCCAGAGCAGAGCGGAGTCGGCTCCGGGCTTTTTTTTTTTATCCTCACCTGAGGACATTTTTTTCCATTTTTTGTTCAGATAGAGTGGGAGGGAGAGAGAGGAAGAGAAAGAGAGAGAGAAACATCAACGTGAAAGGGACACATCAAGTGGCTGCCACCTGCATGGCTAACCAGGGTGGGGGACAAACCACAACCGAGGTACATGCCCTTAGTGGGAACCGAACCCGGGTCTCTCTGGACCTCAGGCCGATGCTCTAACCACTGAGCAAAACCAGCCAGGGCTGGGCTCGGGGCTTTTTGCTCTTTCTGTGGCTGAGCCTTTGAGCCCTGAGCTCCTGCCAGGAGGATGGCTTCACAGCACCGGTGCCTGGCACGTAGTAGGTGCTGAGTAAACACACACTGAACGTGTGGATGAAAGAATGAGCCGCCACACTCCCTTACCTCCCCACTCAGACACCACTCATCAGCGGCTCTTTCCTCAGGGGTCCTGAAGCTGTTCAGGACAGCGCTCCCGGCAGTCACTACTTTTTTTCCCTTCATTGATTTTAGAGAGGGAGAGAGCGACAGAAACGTCAATGAGAGAGAACATCGATCGGCCGCCTCCTCCATGCCCCCCCACTGGAGATCGGGCCCACAACCTGGGCATGTGCCCTGACCAGGAATCGAACTGACGACCTCTTGGTACATGGTTGACGCTCAACCACTGAGCCACACCAGCCGGACCAGGCAGTCACTATTAATCAACTAAAGAGAGGTGCTCTCTTTGCCATTCTGGACTCAGGGCTGCCCTGGAGTAAGTTACAGTGGGGACACTCTCCGGTCAACCTCCTGGGGCACCACCAAGGTGATGTGACTGAGGCTATGTTAGGACGGCCCCTTCTTCATTGCTCATGGAGCTGTGTGGCCACCTCCTAGCTGGCCTCCCTCCCCATCTCTGGTGAGTTCTTGGCTGACCCTTCCTCTGCCATGGCTTCTAGGCTTATTTCTGAAGTTCCTCCCCTGGGCTCATCGCCTCTGGGTCAAAGTCCCGGCTCCTTAGCTGCCCATCGGACCTGTCACTGATGATCCATCCTCTTCTTAGGGTCTTCAATAGCTTCC